TTCCACCATTGCAACTGAAAAAACAAACATAGTATATCTATTAAAAACACAGTAATTTTAAACAAAGAACCAAACATAAACAAGCGCCAAACTACCTCTTTGTTCCATACTGTATATATATATATATATATATATGTGTGTGTGTCAGTATAGACTACTTGTACCTCATGGTGACAAAACCTAGAAGAAACGTGTTACATTTGCCGTTATGTTAAACTTATATGAAAGTTTTTCTTCATATCCCATTCAAGCCGTCTCCAAGCATTAATACCCGTAACCTATGTATAATTTCACCAATTTATGCCATACAGTTTGTGAGATATGAAGCGCTTATCTGTGAAACTTTATTTATAATCACCCTGTATTAAGATTTATCTAGCAACATAACTCACTTCATCTAAAGTTGATTATCACTAGCGTACTTCTTCTTTTTTTTTAAATAAAGATATCATTATTGTTAACTAAGTTTTGGTTATCCAAATGATTGATTATATTTATTGTTTTTACATCTTTAGTTGTAACTTTTTAATTCAAGTTAATTTTTAAAGATATCTTTAAAAAAAGCTATTTTGTTGTTGTTGTTGTTCAGCACAAAGTTACACAATGGGTTATCTGTGCTGTGCCCACCACGAGTATCGAAACTCGGGTTTTAGTGCCATAAGCCTACTGATTTCCGCTGACCCACTAGAGGAGGAGGGGGGGGGGGCTTTTAAGTAAGAATAAAGTATTGATGTAACGCTAAACCAGCGGTGTCCAACAGTTTTTTCATAATCGCCAAAGTTGTGGAGAATGTGTTAACATTTTCGTCATATGACAATATATATATATATTAACTGTGTTTTAAGTCAGTTGAGTTATATATTTCTAAATCTTTGAAGTAAGGTTTCTCCAGTATTTTATCCTCAAAATAAATAAAAAAGTGGACACTTTTTAAACCGGTACATGTACAAATGAATTTTATTAAAAATGATATTTAAAAAAAATAGATGGTAGAAGTAATGCACCAATTCGCCACAGGTAAATAGCCGTTTCGCCACATGTGTCGAGTGGCGACCGTTTTGGACACCGCTGCGCTAAACTGTCTCAATCACTTGGTTCCTGATTTCACATGGAATGTTTTATTACTTGTCTCCAGTCGTTCATAAATCACGTAACTTTGTAGATTAGATTAAGGTTGTGAAATGGAAGTAGTTGTCTTAAAAATATCACACTAAAATATGTGCAGGTGATATCAGTGGCTTTTTTTTTATTTGAGCTTTTCTAGCAGTTGTCAGATCTAATCTGCCGCCAGGGATAAGATGGTCATATTTACCATCATGACGCAGCAAAATTCCTTCATGTACCTGAATCCAGGTGCGACGTCTCACCTGAGAGACTGTTATTACATGTTTATTAAATGATCAACATCATTTCTTAGTTTCTATGAGATAATTATGGGAGTCTTTTTTTAATTTAGTTACAGTTGGGAAGAAAAACATGAGAAACTAGAAAGACATTAAATGAAAAATATGTGTAATTAATGTCAAGGACTCTCTATACTTGAACTAGCATGAAATTTGATAGTTATCTATCTGTCTTCAGGAACAAGACAGTCACGTACACCACCATGATTCAGCAAAAGTATCACGTAAAAATGTTTCTTCATTAAACTACATCCCTTAAAGTCGTTAGGACGTCTTTTTTAAAAAACCAACGTTACTTATCATTTTTGGAAAGTTTGTATGATAACTAGGAATATTTTTTCATGAATAATTTGATCTTACATATAATAGGTAGAACTTTATTTTATCATTACGTTACTTAGATCAAGAAATACGAACAATAACAGTTGGAAACATTACTCTAGGACGTTTCCTACTTTTCACTTTTTTACGATACAGTCAAGCAAACAGAGGAGATTAAAAAATATACTTTCTAAAATCAATATAACAATCTCGAGAACATTTGGTGTACAGGAGCTTTTTAGATACTTTACTCTTAACATAGAAACAAGGAAAGGTTTCCTTTAAAAATATTATGTTCGGAAATCTCAACAACGTTATCTGCAGAACGCTTCTTTTGTTATAAGGTCTTTCTCGTTTTTTGATCGTCATATCATAACGTTTCTGTGACAACGAAATGAAGTATCTGGTATATCAGTTTTATATGAAAGATAAATCACACACTTGGCATGTCTAGTGTGACACGTGTTTAGTTATCGTAAGTATCTGGTATATTAGTTTTATATGAAAGATAAATCACACACTGGGCATGTCTAGTGTGACACGTGTTTAATTATCATAAGTATCTGGTATATTAGTTTTATATGAAAGATAAATCACACACTGGGTATGTCTAGTGTGACACGTGTTTAATTATCATAAATATCTGGTATATTAGTTTTATATGAAAGATAAATCACACACTGGGTGTGGCTAGTGTGATACGTAACAGTTCTATCGATTCAGCGTTTTAGATGTTGATGTAACAAATGGATTCTGCAATTAAGCCTTTTTATAGTTAAACTTTATGCTGATGTACTACCACTGGTTCTTACACTTAGTTATTATGGTGTGCTATTACAGATTCTGTAGTAATTTTTACGCTGGTTCTTTAGTTAATTATTATGTTGTTGTACTGTCACTGGTTCTGTAGTTAATAATTGTGTTGATGTACTACCACTGGTTCTTTAGTTAGTAATTATGTTGTTGTACTATCACGGATTCTGTGGTTAATAATTATGTTTATGTACTACCACTGGTTATTTAGTTAATCATTACGTTGTTGTACTGTCATTGGTTCTTTGAATAATTATTTTGTTATTGTACTAACACTGGTTCTGTGGTTAATAATTAAGTTGATGTACTGTCACTGGTTCTTTAGTTAATCATTATGTTGTTGTACTACAACAGGTTCTGTGATTAATAATTATGTGGATGTACTACCACTGGTTCTGTGATTAATAATTATGTTGATATACTACCACTGGTTCTGTGATTAATAATTATGTTGATGTACTACCACTAGTTCTGTGGTTAATAATTAAGTTGATGTACTGTCACTGGTTCTTTAGTTAATCATTATGTTGTTGTACTACCACAGGTTCTGTGATTAATAATTATGTTGATGTACTGCCACTGGTTCTGTGATTAATAATTATGTTGATGTACTACCACTGGTTCTGTGATTAATAATTATATTGATGTACTACCACTGGTTCTGTGATTAATAATTATGTTGATGTACTACCACTGGTTCTTTAGTTAGTAATTATGTTGTTGTACTATCACGGATTCTGTGGTTAATAATTATGTTTATGTACTACCACTGGTTATTTAGTTAATCATTACGTTGTTGTACTGTCATTGGTTCTTTGAATAATTATTTTGTTATTGTACTAACACTGGTTCTGTGGTTAATAATTAAGTTGATGTACTGTCACTGGTTCTTTAGTTAATCATTATGTTGTACTACAACAGGTTCTGTGATTAATAATTATGTTGATGTACTACCACTGGTTCTGTGGTTAATAATTAAGTTGATGTACTGTCACTGGTTCTTTAGTTAATCATTATGTTGTTGTACTGCCACAGATTCTGTGATTAATAATTTTGTTGATGTACTACCACTGGTTCTTTAGTTAATCATTATGTTATTGTACAATCACTTGTTCTTTGGCTAATTATTATGTTGTTGTACTACCACTGGTTCTTTGGTTAGTAATTATGTTGACGAACTATCACTGGTTCTTTGGTTAGTAATTATGTTGATGTACTATCATTGGTTCTTTGGTTAGTAATTATGTTGATGTACTATGACTGGTTCTTTGGTTAGTAATTATGTTGTTGTACTATCACTGGTTCTTTGGTTAGTAATTATGTTGATGTACTATCACTGATTCTGTGGTTAATAATTAAGTTGATGTACTGTCACTGGTTCTTTAGTTAATCATTATGTTGTTGTACTACCACAGGTTCTGTGATTAATAATTATGTTGTTGTACTACCACTGGTTCTGTGGTTAGTAATTATGTTGTTGTACTACCACTGGTTCTGTGGGTATTGATAAGCTGAAGTTGTCCGAGTAGTTTTATATGTTTATCAAGGTTAGCAATTACGTTAGTTAAATGTAATTCTTTTTACAATAACATCTTTCGAAATTTAGTTTTCAAAGATAACAAAATAAAACCAACCATCATGTCATTTATATATATAATTTAAAGTATTATATGTGATACTGTTTTTAAATGACAATATCAGCCATTTTATAAAGGTTCGACGGACTGGACGTTCTACGTTGGAAATAAAAAAACTGCAACCCGTTAATAAATCTAAAATATGTATTTTGTCACCACGTGGGATATAGCTGAGTTTAATTTTATGATAGTCAGATTAAAAACCTACTCTAAGTGGACACCTTTGAATTTCAAATTAAACCTGTTACATTTTATCTGTTAATCTCCCGCCGAATGTATTATAAAGTGAAATTATTCTTAGTAACTTATGTTGTGAACTTGAATATCAAAAGTGTTATTTCCTACCTGACGAAACAAAATATCTTCTGTCCTCATCGGAGAAGTTGTAGCTAGAGCTCTCAACGACAGTGTTGTCCAACGGTGAGTTGGTAGTTTGGCCCAGTAACCTGGCGTTTTTATAGTCTTTAACGAGCGATAAACAAACCTAGTGACGAGTGCCATGTTTTCATAGTCAGAAGGGACTGTAGAACTATAATCCAGAACTTCGTGGGAATGATAGTGTACACGTGGTGTTTTATCATAAACTTAGATAAGGTCCTTGATTACACACGACTTCAAGAGCAAACAAAGATCTACAATGAAACACTGAAACATATTTTTTACAGCAAGATCTGGAAATGCAAGAGTAGCTCCAAGAGGTGTTTAGGAATGCGACCAGCTTTTGGCTGCTGGCCAATTAAAATATAAAACTATAATTAGTATGCTATTCAAAAGTAATTGTAGTATAACTACGAGTACATGTCGTGTATACTAACACGGCGTACTAAAAGAAAGAATGTAAGTCATGTTTGTGAATATTGTAGCCTATCAATGAACACTAGTAAAGTTAACTTGTAGAACTTGAAGTTCGATGTCTTTAAGTGAAATGGATTTTTCATTCTTCGTTTTACTGAATGAGTTAAAAGAACCCGCTCAACGATTGAACTGCTACAGTAGTTTATTCTCCTTTTTAACGAGTAAGCTAAAAGAGCCCTCCAACAATAAAAACTGTTAAAACAATAGTAAGAACAGAACGTTTCACCATCCATTTCACCGACGTTTTTGAAACATAAAACTTTAAGCTTCTAATTTGTATTTTCGTTTTTTTTTAATATATGTTTAAGAAGTGAGTGGCTTTTGATAATAAGGAAATTCTGGAAGTTTGTAATCTGAAACACTAGATAACCTAAAAAAAACAGACAAAAAAAACAAAAAAAAAACGGTTGACAATGCGAAACTCAAAGATCAAAAATGATACAATGTTTAGAAATATGTAGCTTAGACAGTACGAAACCCAAGGCATGAAGAATACAAAGCTTAGAATATAGTAGACTGGAAACCACAACAACAACAACAAACAAACTACAAGTGTATAGCCATGATTAATTCAGAAACCTATGAGTTCTATAAGAAATGTGTAGGTAAGATTAATACAGAAACCTACTAGGGCGGGCCTATAAGAAGTGTGCAGCCATGATTAATACAGTAACCTACGACGGTCTGTAAGATGTTTGTAGCCATGATTAATACAGAAACCTACGACGGTCTATAAGATGTGTGTAGCCATGATCAATACAGAAACTTACGAGGGTCTATAAGATGTGTGTAGCCATAATTGTGTCACTTTAGACGCAACAAGCTCTAGAACTCTGCAGCTAGAAGTGAGTACGTACACTTTTGTGGTATTTTCCGGTTCAAAACTGATTTCCAGACCTCGTGATCTTTGTTATCTCACAACATTGGTTGGTTAATATATTTAAACAACTTCAAGCCGGCCAGCAGAAGATATTACAGCGCTAACCCTTTTAATGAAAGTGGTATAGGCTTCTTCAATATCTCATTGGGTAGAATAAACATTATATAGTATATTTTGTTTGTTTGTTTCGAATTGTGTCCGAAGCTTTGCGGAACTAGCCGTCCCTAATGTTGAAGTGAAATATTAGAGAGAAGGCTGCTAGTCAACCATACTCATCAACAACTCTTGGGCTACTCTTTACCATTGAATAGTGGGACTAAACATTTCTTTGTAATACTCTATCAACTGAAATGGCTAGCATGTTCAGGGACGGGACTCGAACCCTCGACCATTCAATTGTAAGTTGAGTGCCCTAACAGCTACTTACTATAGAGAACAAACAAAAAACACAAGGCAATCTCAAATGTATGTATGTTAAAACTATGTAAAATCAAATAAACACAAAGTTCGAGAAATTTCTGTATAAGTAAAAGCAGGGATAAATTATGTGATGCGTGCAAAAACATAAAAAACAAACAAACAAACTAAGAAAAACTGATCATTAAAGGAAAATAAAAGGAAAGAAAAACATAATATAACACTTTAATAACGAAACATTTTCATTTTTTGTTTCATAATGGCTTTAAGTTACTCGTAAAAGGCACAGTCTAACATCAGGAAAATACAAATAAGAAATAAGTTTTAAATTAAAACACACAATACAATACCTAATACCTTTCAACTAAAACCTAAAATGAAACTAAAATATAATATAATATATCATCTTACACAATCTTACTATAAAGATGATCCATTATGTGCTTGTGTGTGTATGTGTTAGCATCCATCACCCAGTGTTGGCTGGCTTGATTACCAGAATTTTCGGTATGGTAACTGGAAATTGTCCAATGGCGTAACTGGCTATTTTGTTTTAGGATATCTACGCGAATAGGGGATAAAACGTCCTTGAAAAAGGGCAAATTTCCACTTTTTTTATATATATACTTTTGACTTGCATTGCTCAGAGCTGATTAGATGAAGTTCCGTATTTTTTATTTTGTATTGCAACTAGAAACTATAAGATGGTGTACAAGGGTTATGTTACTTTAGGATTTTTCAACGAGAAAGGGGAGAAACAAACCTCTGATATAGGTCACATTTCCAATTTTTTTATAGACTTCTGCCTTTGGATTTAAGATACAAGAATTTAGTCAGTTAAATAAGCCTATGTCACATTCCATTAAGCAGGGTATGCAATTAACATCTAATGAGGTCATTGGGGATTTAAAAAAAGAAAGAAGAAAGGGGAACAACATTATTCTTTACATAATTTTTGCTTCCTTAACAGTCACTCTCAGCTTGTTTTTAATAAAAATGTAAACATTATACTCAAAATCGAACAATATAATTTAACCTTTATAATGAAACATAACACTTAGATACAGAAATGCCAGATAAAGATTTTAATCATCTAAAATACATGAAAAACAACCTCAATCAACAAAACAAAATATCAAGAAACTAACCAATTCATGGTCGCGTGCATATGTGTGCACAAACTAATTATGTTACGTTATATTTACCAAATATGCACCAATTAAACATGAAGAGAAAACTTACAAATCTTTACACTTTAACACATGTAACCATATGTGAAAGAGACAGGACTCTATTATAAAGTAAAACGAAATGAAATAAATACATATATATAGTTTCTTCACACATAATAAAAAGTGCTAGGCTACTACCTTCTACATGCACTCATAACTGCAGAAGGCACTCTCCACTAAAACTCGAAACCAAAATATACAAATTAAATTATGATAATCTAAATCTCTATACAAATGTATATTCATCCCAGAAAGTCGTCAAGGCTTCAATCCATATATTTATACCCCACCAGCAGAGCTTCTAGTATCGCCAACGTGATTTGATTGGTGGCTGTGAATGCGTTGAGGTCTGCTCAGGCCCTCACCAGGTTCTGCTCAGCTTCGCTGGACCTCTTCCTCGTATCTCGATGAATGAATGCAGGTCGTCAGCATAGGTGATCAGTCCTTTGGAGCCGACTCTTTTCTGAGCCTTGGATTCAGCCTGATAGATCACCCAATGCTCCATTGGGTCGTATCGCTAATGAAGCTCGTACACAGTTGTTTTCCAGTTGTCGTGCTGTTTTTTATTCAGATGTTCCACATAATTAAAGACCAGATTGTCAAAAACGCAGGATCAGGCATTGCACAACGTGTTTCTGAGTCCATTCACTCCACACAGTGACTTTCTGTAAGCATTTTAGGAGCCAGTTCAGCTTGACTTTACTCACAGAACTTTGTGTGCCAGGCCAAAGTCTCGCTCTTTATTTCATAATCACGATGGATGTCCAATGTCCTCGGTTCTGGGTTGAAGCCACTTACAGGCACTCCAACACCCAAATGAGTGGTTGTTCAATAGTGCAGGCCTTTAGGGTGGCGAGCTACTCGGGTTGGCTCCTTGTAAAGCCCTAAATGACCTTTGGCTTAGTGAGCTGCCACCATTGTTAAAGAAAACCTTATAATCTTGAAAGGTACTTACTCATAGATTCCCATTGTCTTATCTGCCAGGAAGACAACTCTGACTGGCTGAATTATTTCAGTCTCTTTCCAACAGTTTCCATTGATCTTAACCAGAGATTTGGCTGCTGTGCTCTGACTGGTGACAGGAGACGAAATTTTTAGAGACCTCGCCACATGGTATCGAACTCACCAGACGTCAATCTATTCTGGCAGACCTCAGTCATCCGCATTTCATTTTCACTGAGGCTGATTCTCAGGAAAAGTGTTTAGCCTCTTCTTGTACAAAACCTTACATTTTTGTTTTGTTGTCTAGAACAATACAGAATCCTAAGTAGTGTGTTACGTTTTAATCGATACAGAGTCCTATAAGTGTTTAGCCATAAAATAATGACACATACTGAAAATTGTATTGGTTACATCAACATAAAAACCTACAAATATGCAACACCAGGAAGAGACAAATTGTAAGAAAACTGAACAATGTTCCTCGTGATAAAAAACAACTAAAATGTTTAGTCAAGAATATTACAAGACAGTTGAAGTGTATTGACTTGAACAGAAAAAACCCAAAGTGGTCCTGGAAAGGAAAATAAATGTGTAAGAAGTACGTAGAGCTTAAACAGTAAGTAATACAATAGAACTGTGCATCCTTAACGAATACAAAATCCAAGAAATTTGTAGTTTTGTCAAAAACACAAGTAAACCAAAACCTCTAAAATTACGTAGACGTGATATATTTTATCATTAATTTCTGATCAAAGCAACGTATGTAGATCGGAACTAAAAATGAACCAATAGCTAATAAATGTAACTTAATATAAAATAAAAATTTATAAATAAATGTATTGGCTGTAATCCCAATGGTATTTCGCGAAGTTAGGCCAGCTTAAGAGATTGGGGTTAATCGTACATACATATACTCAGATAACAATGCCAAATATTCGTAATAATGAATAATATACAGGGGCGGAGCCAGGATTTATGTTCTTACACCAGATTATAAAACCGTTTGAAAATAAGAAGGAACCCTCCATGGCCGTGGCTGTAATAGATCTCAAACCGATCACGAGACGGAGCTATGAGCTAAAAGTTTGTGTAGGAAAAACAAAACTCAGAGCCATTCTATGAGCCACTATGCCGCGGCTAAAGGTTTAAGCTGCAATGTCACCTAAGGTTGTGCAAAAACTTTATTTGTTAGAGGGGTCAGTGGTTTTGGTTGAGGAAATCAGGAATACGAAACTGTTAACCCAAGCTGTTTGTTTGGTAGTCCTTCGGAAATGTGGTTTACAACCACCTCTGGATCCACCCTTGTAAAAGTATATTACATATATTAGCGGAAATACCTAATCCTCCGGGCAGATATAACTGAT